TATTATTATTATTATTATATTATTATTATATTATATTATTATTATTAATATGAAATAAAATATAATAAATTAGATTCTTATAATTATTATTAAATCCAAGCAAATTATTCTATCTATTCTATTCTAAATTATATTTTATACGATTATAAATCATCATGATTTACTATTCTTATATGCAAATAATATATTTATTAATATTATATTATATTATATTATATTATTTATATTATATTATTTATATATATTATATTATATTATATTATATAATATTATACCTGGAAATTCCGCCGGCCCGGAATACGTCTTGGGCGGAACGGGGCTGGACGGAGAATAATAATAATAATAATAATAATAATAATATGAATAAGCAATATAAGAATAATGAAATAAGAATATTAATAAATTAGATTCTTATAATTATTATTAAATCCAAAACAAATTATCCTATTCTATTCTATTCTATTCTATTCTATTCTTATGAAATTATATTTTTATATGATTATAAATCATCATGATTTATTATTCTTATATGCAAATAATATTATATTATTATAATATACCTGGAAATTCCGCCGGCGCCGGAATATGTCTTGGGCGGAACAGGGCTGGAAGGAGAAATTAATAATAATAATAATAATAATAATAATAATAATAATAATAATAATAATGTTAATAAATTAGGTTAGAGTTCTTATTCTTATATGCAAATATAATAATATTCTTTATTATTCTTATATGCCTATATAATATTATATATAATATACCTGGAAATTCCGCCGGCGCCGGAATATGTCTTGGGCGGAATGGGGCTGGACAGAAAAAATTAATAATAATATTATTAATGAATAAGAATTTTAATAAATTAAATTATTATATTCTATTCTTATTAAATTAGATTTTATATGATTAGAAATCATCATGATTTGTTATTCTTATATACAAATAATATATATATCCTAATCATTATATTATATTATATTATATTATATTATATTATATTATATTATATTATTACATTATACAAATACATATATAAAATATTATAATAATAATTTATATACGTATTTGTGTAAATATTTTATATCCACACACGGTGTAGAGATCTCGAGATATATATATATAAGTATATTAAATATAATATAAAATAATATAATATAATATACGATGAAAGAAAATGGGGGGGAATATTACCTGGAAATTCCGCCGGCGCCGGAATACGTCTTGGGCGGAACGGGGCTGGAAGGAGAAAAATAATAATAATAATAATAATAATAATAATAATAATAATAATAATAATAAATCAAATTGTTATAGTTCTTATTAAATCAAAACAAATTATCACGTTATATTCTTATTAAATTATATTTTTATATGATTATAAATCGTCATGATTTATTATTCTTATTATATACAAATAATATATATATATATATTATATATATATTATCTATATATAATATATAAACCTTATATATAGATTTATATTTATATTTATACACAGAAATCTATGTTATAATAATCTGATTTATTCATATTAATATTAATATTAAAATATAATATATATAGATAAAATAGATTTCCGTGTATCTATAGGAATATAAATGTATATAAAAATAAAATAAATATAAATATAAAGATATAAATATAGATAATATAAATATAGATAATATAAATATATATATGTTTGTGTATAATAAAAAGAATGGGAAATATAAATGATATAAATATAACTATAAATATAACTATAAATATAAATAAAATATAACTATAAATATAATATAAATATAAATATAAATATAATATAAATATAAATATAATATAAATATAAATATAAATATAATACCCACCTGGAAAAACCCGGCGCCGGATTGACGGTGATGTATTCGCTTTCCGGAAGGTTCCTAAAAAAAACGATAAAAGGTTCCCTGGAATTGATTGACAGGGACCCGGCTTGATTGACAGGTCTGGTCTCGCCCCCTCCCCGCCCCTTTGACTGACTTGCTCTCGGTTGCCTTGGCGACGGCGGCCAGGGACCCAGGCGTCCGGGGAAGGGGCGGGAGGAGGGGCGGGACTTACCTGTTATTCTGTTATTATTAGTATTATTAGTCTTGTTAGTCTTGTTATTGCGTTGTTATTCGTATTATTAGTATTATTAGTCTTGTTATTGCGTTGTTATTCGTATTATTAGTATTATTAGTCTTGTAATTGCGTCGTTATTCGTATTATTAGTGTTATTAGTCTTGTTATTCGTATTATTAGTATTATTAGTCTTGTTATTGCGTCGTTATTCGTATTATTAGTGTTATTAGTCTTGTTATTGCGTCGTTATTCGTATTATTAGTGTTATTAGTCTTGTTATTGCGTCGTTATTCGTATTATTAGTCTTGTTATTGCGTCGTTATTCGTATTATTAGTGTTATTAGTCTTGTTATTGCGTCGTTATTCGTATTATTAGTCTTGTTATTGCGTCGTTATTCGTATTATTAGTGTTATTAGTCTTGTTATTCGTATTATTAGTGTTATTAGTCTTGTTATTGCGTCGTTATTCGTATTATTAGTGTTATTAGTCTTGTTATTGCGTCGTTATTCGTATTATTAGTGTTATTAGTCTTGTTATTCGTATTATTAGTATTATTAGTCTTGTAATTGCGTCGTTATTCGTATTATTAGTGTTATTAGTCTTGTTATTCGTATTATTAGTGTTATTAGTCTTGTTATTGCGTCGTTATTCGTATTATTAGTGTTATTAGTCTTGTTATTCGTATTATTAGTATTATTAGTCTTGTTATTGCGTCGTTATTCGTATTATTAGTGTTATTAGTCTTGTTATTGCGTCGTTATTCGTATTATTAGTGTTATTAGTCTTGTTATTGCGTCGTTATTCGTATTATTAGTGTTATTAGTCTTGTTATTCGTATTATTAGTATTATTAGTCTTGTTATTGCGTCGTTATTCGTATTATTAGTGTTATTAGTCTTGTTATTGCGTCGTTATTCGTATTATTAGTGTTATTAGTCTTGTTATTGCGTCGTTATTCGTATTATTAGTGTTATTAGTCTTGTTATTCGTATTATTAGTGTTATTAGTCTTGTTATTGCGTCGTTATTCGTATTATTAGTGTTATTAGTCTTGTTATTGCGTCGTTATTCGTATTATTAGTGTTATTAGTCTTGTTATTCGTATTATTAGTGTTATTAGTCTTGTTATTGCGTCGTTATTCGTATTATTAGTGTTATTAGTCTTGTTATTCGTATTATTAGTATTATTAGTCTTGTTATTGCGTCGTTATTCGTATTATTAGTATTATTAGTCTTGTTATTGCGTCGTTATTCGTATTATTAGTGTTATTAGTCTTGTTATTGCGTCGTTATTCGTATTATTAGTGTTATTAGTCTTGTTATTCGTATTATTAGTGTTATTAGTCTTGTTATTGCGTCGTTATTCGTATTATTAGTGTTATTAGTCTTGTTATTCGTATTATTAGTATTATTAGTCTTGTTATTGCGTCGTTATTCGTATTATTAGTATTATTAGTCTTGTTATTGCGTCGTTATTCGTATTATTAGTGTTATTAGTCTTGTTATTGCGTCGTTATTCGTATTATTAGTGTTATTAGTCTTGTTATTCGTATTATTAGTATTATTAGTCTTGTAATTGCGTCGTTATTCGTATTATTAGTGTTATTAGTCTTGTTATTCGTATTATTAGTATTATTAGTCTTGTTATTGCGTCGTTATTCGTATTATTAGTGTTATTAGTCTTGTTATTCGTATTATTAGTATTATTAGTCTTGTTATTGCGTCGTTATTCGTATTATTAGTGTTATTAGTCTTGTTATTGCGTCGTTATTCGTATTATTAGTGTTATTAGTCTTGTTATTCGTATTATTAGTATTATTAGTCTTGTAATTGCGTCGTTATTCGTATTATTAGTGTTATTAGTCTTGTATTCGTATTATTAGTATTATTAGTCTTGTTATTGCGTCGTTATTCGTATTATTAGTGTTATTATTATGTTTTATTAGTATTATTCGTGTTGCTGTTATTAGTATTAGTATTATGCTGCTATCATTATCTTGTTGTATTATATTGTTTTTATTGTATTATTATTATATTGATAGATCTGCCGATATTATGAGATATTAGATTATAATAATTATAGAAAATAAGAATAATAATTTATAGACAATATTATTGTTATCGATATCACAGAGAGATCTATAGTTCTGTGTCATTAATCTGCCGATATTAATACAATATTAATCAGTATAGATATTCTAGATCGATTTCATATATATTTCTATATTAGATAGATAGATAGTTAGATAGATAGATAGATATAGATAGATTGATATAGATATATATCTGTATATATAGATATATAGATATATATCTCTCTCTATATATAGATATTCTTCTTCTTCTTCTTCTTATTATTATTATATTAAATATAATATATATATATTTATAATAATACATTTATTATTATTATTATTATTATTATTATTATTATCTGCTCTGGTAATATATCTCCAGATATAATAATTAATAATAATAATAATAATAATACCTGCTCTTGTAATTATATCTTCAGATATTATAATAATAATAATAATAATAATAATAATAATAATAATAGTAATAATAATATCTGCTCTTGTAATTATATCTCCAGATATAAGAGCAGATATAATAATAATAATAATAATAATAATAATAATAATAATAATAATATCTGCTCTTGTAATTATATCTCCAGATATAAGAGCAGATATAATAATAATAATAATAATAATAATAATAATAATAATAATAATATCTGCTCTTGTAATTATATCTCCAGATATAAGAGCAGATATAATAATAATAATAATAATAATAATAATAATAATAATAATAATAATATAAAAATAAAAATAATAATATCTGCTCTTGTAATTATATCTCCAGATATAAGAGCAGATATAATAATAATAATAATAATAATAATAATAATAATAATAATCTATTATTATAAATATTATAGATATAGATATAGATATATAATATATAATATTATACATAAATCGCCCGCCGGATCCCGGTTTGATTGACAGGGGAGGCTCCCGCCCCTTTGCCCGCCCCTTTCCCGCCCCTCCCTTTGACTGACTTGCTCTCCGTTTCCGCGGTGACGGCGGCTTCGTAGGCGCCCATCTTCTGGTAGCTCGGCGCCTGGCGGCTCCTGGGAAACGTAGTACGGGGTGAGCGGAGGGACCCAGGCGTCCGGGGAGGAGGAGGAGGGGGCGGGGCTTACCTGGGACCCGGGTGCAACTCGCTGGCGCTCAGGTAGGCCCCGCCTTCCGGGGTGCGGCTGGAAAAGAAAGGGGCGCTACGGTTCCCAGGGGTTTGATTGACAGGCACCCGGGGTGGTGGGGTTGATTGACAGGGATGGGGCGACCCGGGTTCGATCCCAGAATGATTGACAGGTTATTGATTGGAATGACAGCATGATTGGCAGGGATGGGGCGACCCGGGTTCAACCCCAGAATGACTGACAGGTTATCGATTGGAATGACAGAATGATGGACAGGGATGGGGCGACCCGGGTTCAACCCCAGAATGATTGACAGGTTATCGATTGGAATGACAGAATGATGGACAGGGATGGGGCGACCCGGG